TGTACAGGTCAACGGTAGTCTTAGTGACTTTTCAATACAATCAAGTCATACAGGGCCACACGGTAGTCTTAATGGCCTTTCATTACAATAAAGTTATAAAGGACCAAACGGGAGTTTTAATGACTGATCAATACCAAAATGTCACACACGTTAGTCTTAACGACATATCAATACACTAATGTCTAATGGGGCCACACGTTGGTCTAACTGGTCTATCAACACAATATAGTCATACATGGAAGTCTTAATGGCCTATCAATACCAAATAGTCACACGCGTTAGTCTCAACGACCTATCAATACAATAATGTCTTATGGGGCCATATGTTGGTCTTACTGGTCTATCAACACAATAAGGTCATACAGGGTCACACGGTAGTCTTAATGGCCTGTCAATACAATAATGTCTTATTTGGTCACGCGGCGGTCTTACTGGTCCATCTACACATTAAAGTCAAACAGGGTCACACGGTAGTCTGAATGGCCTGTCAATACAATAATGTCTTATTGGGCCACATGGTGCTCATAGTGGTCTATCAACAGTAATATGGTCATACATGGTCACACAGTAGTCGTAATGACCAATCAATACAATAAGGTCACCAACGGTAATCTTAATGGCCTATCAATACAATAAGGTTATACAGGGTCACACGGTAGCCTTTAGGACTTTTCAATACAATAAAATCAAACTAGGTCACACAGTAGTCGTAATGACCTACCAATACCAAAACGTCACACACGGTAGTATTAAAGACCTATCAATACAATAATGTCTTAAGGGGCCACACGTTGATCTTAATTGTCTATCAACACAATAAGGGCATACAGGGTAAAACGGTTGTCTTAATGGTCTATCAACACTATAATGTCATAAAGTCACACACGGTGGTCTTAATGGCCTATCAATATAATAAGGTCACACACGGTAGTCGTAATGGCCTATCAATTCAATAAGGTTCTAAAAGGCCACACGGTAGTCTCAAAAACTGGAACAAGTATGTATCCTAGGAGAGACAAAAGTAAAAGCATTAGACCTTAATAAAGAGTGTAACAGCCAATAATAATGTATTTAAGTATGGCTTTACTAGATGTGGATTTTAACCTTTTGGATGTTCTCTAAACAACAGACACTGACAAACTCAAGTCCTCAGGATCTCAAGCTTGTCACGTCAAACGATCGTGAAGTGGCATACAGCAGATCTATCAAAACTGCATAGAAATACCCACGAATGTCTCATTTGATTCAGTAAATAACCAAAACGTTGAGAACAACTTATGTATGATTTATCAAAGAGAACATAGCTAAAATGAAATATTCTTACGGGTTTTTTTTTGCCATGCGTTAAATTTTAGATACGTGATAACTCCATCAAAAGCAAACCACAAGGTCATGGTATTTCTGAATTGCTCTGATATTATATAGAAAATATAGAAACAGCTTTTCATGCAAAACCGACACATTGAAATATTTCTATCAACCTGTGGTCGAAGGGACATAACTCCAATAAGGCAAGTAGTTAAGTGAGAGATTGATTTATGTTGAGTGACAATGTGATTTAAAATAAAAGGGACACACAAACCGAGGAATGCACCTAAAATTTGGCATTTGATACAGTGAGCCAAAAACTAACCACGTTGCATCATAAGCCTGTGACGCCTTTGTATGACTCATTAGTGATGTTAGGGGCCAACAAAGTGGAAATCCAAAGTTGACATTACTACTGGTGTAACAGATTGAAATTGCGTAAACTCCTTAATATTTTGAATTTAAGTAATCAAAGGAGTAACCGGTTAATTTCGAACTAAATAGTAACTAAAATGTATACATGTATATTATCAACCGTGTAACTTGTCAAAAGGGATTATTGTGGATATCAAAGTTACGGTAAATTTCGGGTATGAGAAAACCAAAGTAGGAGAATAGTCAATATTGCTCCTGACCAGCTGGAATACCTTGCAATGAAATTCGCGGTTTCTTAAACGGTGAATCCTTAATTTCCTCTATAAAAAATAAAATTCAGCCTTCGCCCTCGTGCCACATCATTAATCTCGGAGAAACAAATGATCGTGTTTCCCTTTAACAAGCGTACGTAATAAATCTACAATTAAGACCTTGACATGACGTCATGGTCTACCATTGATGTTGTCTGGCTGATGGCTCTTAAGATTACACAAAAACTGTATCACAACAAAGAAACACCAGCAAAACTAGGTCAAACAGGGTCACATTGCACACGTGAGACAGGTCACACGGCTCAAGGGTCATACAGGGTTACAAAGTGGAAATTTTGAAATGGCAAGTGTGCGAAGAGACAGTGGAAGCAACACATCGCAGGAAACATAGAAAAAGTATGAAAGAGTACGACGGGTGCAGTATATCAAGGCAATGTCCACTTATTATGAAACCAAATAAGGCTAAAATTAAAATTACGTATCATTAAAACGGTATCAAGAAAGACGCCATTAACAGAAATTACTTCAAGGATTGAAGGGATAGACAAACGTCATACTATATTGCAAACGAACAGCACATAAATTTAATGGGGAAAAAATAGAAAACCCCGGCCTTACTCGTCTTTAAAAATTGGTATTACATCTGCCTATTCAAATTGTTAACAACGCCGCTCGTTTCCTTAAACGAAACTCGAACCAGCAGGCTAGCATACAGATATAAATCTTGTACGGTGGAAGTACATGTATGTAGACATCGATGTGGAACAGACATGATTGCACTGGGTCCTCACAGAGTGTTGTCACTCCCTTGAAAGTTTTGGATTGATCTCAAGATAAATTAGTTTCTACAATGTTCTCCAGAGATGCTTCAACTGAGGCGATTGGTGCTACGATGGAACTTATCGGCTTACATTAGTATCCTTCCCCTCTTTGGAACATTACCGGGATATTCCTCACAAGGCTCCCTAACGCTCCTATTCTACTGTGATAATCGTACAGGTACCCTTTCAACTGACCCTGCCCTTTACCCCATATCGCGTTTTAATCAGTCTTTGAATTAATCTATTGCATACTTCTGTTATTCTGTTGATATTAACAAATAGGTGTTATTTGGTCATTCTTTACATTGACGTATTTTACTTTCTCTTCCAAAGATATTGTCATATCTCTATAACCATAAAATATTAGTTATCTCCCTTTAGTCCTATAGATGAGGGCATTAAGGTTACTCGACACATCGTCATCAGCGTCCATTTTCATGAGTTACTTTCGAAAAAATGCAGCGAACTGAATATTTCCGAGCGAAATGTGCCCATTTTTAGTAAAAAAAAAGTAACTCTCCAACAAAATGATGAGCTTGCCGGATGATATACGAAGGTCTAGGAACTTATTGGTTAAGCATAGGAATCCCAATATCAAGATTTCAATTGTTTTTTGTCCATTTTTTCGTGGTGTGTTGAGCCATCTTAAGGCGATCTAACAGTGGTTAACACTATAACAACATGATAGAAAATGGGAAAACCCGTATCGAAATAATTATTTAAAAAAATACATTAATTCAACAATATATCATTGTCTTTGAATTAATTTTTCTCGTTAGGGGAGATAACACAGACTATTGACAACAGAAAATATTTACTGCTTATACCAATTATGAAAATCATATTCTTGTTGAAAGATATTCCTTATCAACGTCTATTTGATAATTAGTCGGCCATTTGTCGATTCCTTTCTGCAGGAGACTTTTTTAAACAAACACTTCATCGTTACATGTCTTGGACATGGTCTTTGATTGAAGGAATGTTCCAGATATTACCCACTGAATGGTTTGTCAAAGGCAACTATGGTCGGAATCACCGGCAGCATACAGGCCCTTTTTTAAGATCAGGGAAAGGGTTTCGTATAAGTTGTTCAACGTGTGCCTAATCCCATTGCTAATTAAAATAGGCAATAAAATATGTTTACATAAAAAAAATGAGATATGTATATTGTCCTTTTTCCTACATGTAACTACATTTTTTTATTTCCTAACCCCTTGTGTGACGACATCTCGGTTTTGGTCTTTTGGTGTTGAACGTTAACCCAAACGAGGAAGGCCCTACGGTTCGGTTCCCTATAACAGAGACAATCCGAAGTTGTAAAAGCAGTTATTAATGATTGAGGGTACAGTAATACTGGTCATCCCTGTTGTCAGTATAATGTGACCGGATGGAGTGTCATACCACCGTATCTAGCTGTTTTACATTTCAGGGAGATGACACTCCAAAGTGACCATTTCATGTCCAACATATCCGTAAACACCATCTTCGCATGGCCATGGCTGTTGGGATGACAAAAAATCCAAAAAAAAAACACGCTACGGTATCTTTGGTCACATTCATCCATGACGGCTGTCAGCTCAGAAAATCATAATTGATTTGTGTTCGTTCATTAACCCGAGTACGTTCACCTCCATTTAGAATAGGTAACTCGGTGGTTGACCCCTCGTCCGCGTTGTTCAGCCTCAGTGCAAATTTACTATACATCAGCGGCAGTTGGTCAGTGTATTTACCAATCTTCAAGATGGCGATTTATGAAGAAAAATCATGTCTCTTTTTTTAAACTCGAAGCGCGGTGTTCATAACATAACGTCTTTGCTATCTGACAAGTTGGATGTTAAGGACTTCAGTAACTTACTGCCCAGGTACTCCAATGTAGATATATAACATCGAAAGTATCGCCAACAGTTGTGTGGCTAGCATGGCGGAATGGCTGACTTTTTGTGCGTAGCTCATTAGTTTATTATCTCTGAATTCTTTATCTAAAATGTTGACGAACCCTTTGTTAAGCATTGTTTCGCTCTGAGACGTTACAGCTTAATCAGGTGTCACTTAAATGTAGACCGACACAGTCTCAAGGACATCGGATTTGTTAAGAAAAAATTGAGAGTCATCTTTGACCTCTGGGATGTCCGATTCAAATGATCAAACAATGACTTATTACGAAATATGTTCAAAGTATAATTACTTTCATTACCTTGAAATAACAATAACAAAAAAGATTATCAAATAAATATTTTATTTATAGCTCACCCTGTCATCAGTAATAATCCAAACTGTCTTTAATTTGAATTATTTGCGCACGGCATGATAAAATGTTATAGAAATGCATACAAAAGCATAAGCACTATGAATGATAAAGACGACTTTGATGACGAACCTTGTTCAAATCTACAGCAAGATATACAAGATGTACGTTTAAGTTCTTTTGTTGAATTATATTTTCTGACATATGAGAACAACTTACACATCCTAAGTAATGTGATCGATTCATAACCAGATGTGTTCATTTTATTATTTCAATAAGATTAAATTTAGTCCGGCTACATGATGCACATGAACATACACATTTCATTCCAGAGTTCTGTTGCTAACCAGAAGTCGCAGGTTGCGTACAACGGGTATAATTTTGACCTTCAACCTTCAAGCTGGTATCCATATTGCCTATAAACTCGTAGAATTAAGCATGTTTTATTACATACCTGGTCAATCTTACAATACTGTTATAGACAGTTTTAAGGCCATGCAGCACAAAGTCCAGAATTGCACTGATAGTACATGTATGTTGGATAATGCGTTTCCCCCGCCATTTTTGTTTCGTTCAGGCTGTCGGGAGGCAATTTGAGCTTTAATACTGGATAATGTGACGAGTTTGAAAAAGGTGTAATACGAATATGAAAAATCATTGAATGCATAATTTAAATAAAATCAATACCGCACATATGTCCGACATTGTAGATAGTACAGGTTTATTGGTCCGGCGAAAACAGCAATGAATGTACGTAAAATACCGCAGGATGAGCACGTCTGCTAGTTAAACTACAAAATGTATATGTGACGTCATAAAAGGTGGGTGATATTGTTTATGTATGGGAATTTTTATTTCACGTGAAAATTATATATGAGCAAACACTTGCACGAAGTAATGTACGTTGCAAATTTAAATACATACATGTACAGCCCAACAAAGGTAAATCTCGCTACAGCGAGACTGTCCCGCACTAAATGATGATTCCACAATTGCAATGAGTTAAACAAGAATAAAAAAAAAACTCGATAATTGTCGATACACATATATTGAAAAATAACTTAAAAATCAAGATGTTTCGATAAGTTCGATTAGCTATCTTCAGTTACGGATCAATAGCTCATATGGTCTGTTTTTCTTTCATTCTAATTAGCTAATACTTGATCCCAGGTTCGCCAATATATTTTAGCATATCGACCCCATGTTTCTAATTTCGTTTTGCACGTGACCATATCGATCTCATGTTTCTAACTTTAGACCGGATATCACGTTATCTGAAGACATGACATGTTATATCTTAAAATTAGGGATTTTTCTCGCTGTTAATACGTTGTTACATGGACCTGAGAGAGAAAATATCGACATCGGACTGTACCCTCGGTCAATATCACTCTGGTAGGTTCAAGTGTATATATAACAACGCATCGACATTAACAGAAGTCCATATTTGATGATGTAATCGTAGCAATGACGTTTACTAACAATGATACACATTGAAATAACAAACTCGATTGCATTGCAATTAGTACTTCCGGTACAAACCCCTGGCTATATTCAAGGACGCGAATCAGTAAAAGTTTTAAAACTCTCTGGCACTGTATCACGTGATCACAATTCCTTTGTGCACGACGGGGCCACCGTATCCCTCCGTAAGCGCTGGCCACGTGAATGAGAAAATGTCCTGATTTTGATTACCACATGTTTCTTCACGCGTGTGGAGGTTAGGGTTGAATCTTCTTGAGTCATATGATAGGAAATAAGGAGGGTTTTGAACTGTAAGTCCCCAGGCAACACGGACACAGGAAGTGACGTAATCCCTGAGGCCGTCACACTCCTTAAGGCACGGATAATCAAAGAGCGTCGCGTAGATTTGAGAACAAACCTCCTGCAATAAAGAAATTAATTTATTTATTGATTGGTTAATTTGTTTATTTATATATTCAATTATTCTGTCATTCATGCACGACCTCTCAGAGTTAAAAGGTTCCTGTATATAAGGTCAGGCGGAAGGTCGATTGGAGTCGAGACAAATAATTTTCACCCATTCAGCTCATGTTGCCTATAACAAGATTATATTTTTATCACGTGGTTATTTATATACAAAAAGTTAATATATTCTTTTAGTTGTTGAAATTTTCGTCTATTCCGGAAAATAGCAAGTAACTTCATCGCGGGGAAACATGAACATTTGCTTCTCTTCAATCAAAACTTTTCTTTGTTAAAGTAGTTCGTATCCGATGTTTGGTCTGATGTAGAGAATCGAAGGTAAAGACTTGTAATCTTTAGTCACTGAGAAGGCATGTATTCGACAAAGGAATACTTATTGATACAGACTGTAAATAATATCAAATGACCATTTGGAGTTTAAAGTATGTGTGTTAAATACATACCTGAATGACGTCAGAAAGGTCAAAGTTATCAGCCGTTGCGGTGAGATATTGTCCAATTTGACAGTCCATTTGCTGCTGAACTGGTATCTGTGCTTTGGACCGGATATCCGGATGGGGAAGATTTAACAGATGGCGTAGTTTTCCGCGGATTTCATGAACAGATTGTTGCGTCGCCCGAAACGCCAGCTGTATGTAATTAAAAACAAAGCAATCAACAGGCGAAGTAAATGAAAGTCCGTGAAAGTCCGTGAAAGTTCGACAACAAACGCATTGAGATGTTTAATGTGGGATTATAACAACAATGATAAACATACAATACGACGAAACGTTGATCTAACTCCAGGTGAAATGACAATGCAATATATCATCAAGTTCTACTTGTAACAGGAACTTTTACATAAATCCCCTAAACTTCTCCAGTAGTCGCAAACGATGCACTGGAAAGAACTTAAATTGCCATAATACCCTTACATATTAAGTTGGATCATAATGAGAAAAAAACAGGGGGACCGTTGGTATCACATTGGCATCACCCAAAAAAAGATGATTAAATTATAGGCCACGGCAGCCATGTTTGATGACTGATCGGGAAATGAAATGCGTTATGCACTTCTACATATGCCTACCAATACTTATGTCAGGTTTCATAAGAAGAAGAAGAAAAATGAGAATAACCGAGAACCACGTACCACCATAACAGAGAATATGATTTTATCTTTCAATGCCATTAGATTGTCCAGTGGTTTCAGACGATCCAATGTCGCCATTGCATCGAGCCGTCCGTGGGAGTAAAGCGCTGCATAGTGTCCAACCCACTCCTGCGACAGCGCAAAGCCGTTTCCTGTTTCTTCAATGGACGGCGGCGCAACATTGGCAAGCCTGTAAGCGAATTAACAAAATTAATCGTTTAGACAGATAAACAAACACATTTAAGATTTAGTCTCAAATTCAAATTAACATCATGTACAAGTCGATTGCAATTATCTGTTTGAAACCTTTATGTCTGATTCTTTCGATATGAAAAGTGTGTGTTGTTACAAAGAAATGATGCTTATCTGTAAAGAATATTTGGTTATCTCCCTTAATTAAATTATCAATAGCAACATTTTGTCCATATATTTTACTGTCACGTGATGTACAAATATAGCGCAGATCAGTTTCGGTCTCGGCTCTCGGTGCCACGAACGTCCTACAAACGTGCATAACTCTAGCAATGATCTCAATTAATTCACATATCTTCTCAAATAATGACTTTGCTTTAATATGTTTACTGTTCAAGTCAGAAATGATTTTTTGATATGAATTATTATATTTTTACTATTTCAATTAGTTTTTTATGTAACCTAAAAAATAGATCTCTAGCGAATTGAGAATTGTTTGAAGTTAAAATTAAGGATTAATATTCTGTGGGCAAGATCGGTTTGCCAAATTAAACTGTTCCTACAAGTATATCAATTTCAAAGTCAATGATTTCGATTAAAAGAATATTTAAATAACCTAACCGAAACGGTATAGCTTAGACTTAGTCATGATAAAAGACTACTATTTTATGACATGAAAGAGTTGGTTCTTTTATATTACCCGATAGGACATATTAAATATACAACTGTGATTAACAACTACAGTATCAAAAGACGTTTATCTATTACAAACCTGGTGTTCAGTTCCACCTCTCTCTCCTGTAATCGTTCAATAATTTCGTTGCTGTTTTGTAACTCCGTTCGGAGATGATCAACCTCCCGTTCTAGCCTCTCAATTTCTAGTTTTTGCTGGTCGGATTCGTGTCTACCGTTTGTAACCACGTGGTCAGAATTTGAAGCAGTATGATTGGTCTCTCCATTGAGCACGGGTATGACGGTATACTGTAGAGAGTGTGGAACAAGGTTGGCGTGTCCATTCCGGATGCCATTTTGATCCGGCTTCACCGGAAATGGACCAGATATTATAGAGGGCCTCAGTCCTGCAACAAAAAAATATATAAAAAAAATAGGATTTTAAAGGAAAACAAACGCCATGCTACTTTCAGCGAAACTTATTTTGAAATCAGTTAAATTATCTTATCAAAAAGGGTCCTTTAATTTAGTTCTTCATGTTCGAACATGAAACAGAAACAAGTTTCAATACAAAGACCTTAAATTCTGCTCGTGTAATTATATCAACTAATGCAAGGTAACACATCATTCTTAATCAAGAATGTGATGGCGTTACCTTTTGGAGTAGAAATATTAATTTTGATCGAAAAGTAATTTACACGAACTACACTTCAACATCGCACAACGTAATTATTCAATCATTAATATAAAGTACGCTGTAATAGCAACTCTCAGAAATGAAATTTACACAATTATGACAATTTGATATCGTTAGGTTTCCTTCTACAAAGCTTTTAAACGCTATATAATTATTAAAACATGATTGCATAACCACCGAGGACTCATAAAGGCATGTAAGTTATTTTAAATTATGCCTTTTTATAACTTGGTTACGAGCCTTTCCTCGTGAATGATTTGGTTTGGTTTTATAGGGTTAAACGTCCTATCAACAGCCTAGGTCATTTAAGGACGTTTCTCGTCAATGTCTTTGTTCGAAGAAATTCTTTCTGATAAGAAATAAAGAACCGTTCTGATTTCTGGACAATTTAGTGTCCAAAGCTTCCCGGGGATAATATGCTGAAAAATGTCTTAAAACGAACTAAATTCTGTCTTCAGAGAGAAGTTTTTTATAAGATTATTTTTTCAGTATGTATAACATTTTCCTTTGTATATCAGGTACTTCCGATACTTTTCAGCTTTTTAGCACATGTAAAAAAATTAATGCTACCCTACATTTTGTATCTGCAATTTGTGCTAGAGTTATCTCCCTCGAAAAATAAGTCGGACTTAGAGTAGAATGTATGTATTTCATATTATTTATGACCAAAAAAGTAAATATGAATTATACAGCTTTCAGTAAGTATGTATTTCAGAGTCAAAGACTGCAGTATGATCAACAGTATTACCACTGACATTTCTGTCGTATTACTGTTGACATGGAGTAAAGTTAACGTTTCAGACCTGGTATCTGACGTAACATTTCAGTAAGATACATTGTAGTATTTAAAAATAATGTCTACATCTACCAGCGTTAATAAATGACACCGCCACCTCTCGTAGATAACTAGCTTATCAAAAGCATATATCCGAAAATTAAGACAATATTTAATTCAATTCTGTATCCCTTCTGAACATTATGTTTCGTCAGCAAACCATCTTGATTCGAATCTTATTCACTCTTTATCTGACACGCTACATTTTGTACTATTTCGTCAATCTCTTCTAATGTTCGCAGAATAATCCTTTAAAATAACAAAAAAAAATCGAATATCCAACTTAAGAAGTAAACATAAACAACTCAACTTGGTATCTAGTGCACTTTGTAGTGCACATGTAGTGAACAAGGAAGTGCACTAGGAAAAACATTGAAGTGCACTGCAGTTCACGTCAATGTTAACTCCAGTTCACGTCAGTGTTAACTCCAGTTCACTTCAATTGTTAACTCTAGAGCACCACAGTGTTAACTTCAGTTCACAACCCAAGTTTAAAAGACCGAATAACATATTTCAATATTTTTTTATAATGAAATGGGTTCCTTAGTGATATGAAAATTGAAAGAGTAGGGAAGGCTTGTGCACTGGAGTTCACGTTTCTTGTTAACTGCAGTGCTCTAGGCTACAGAGTTTTTGCACCCAACTATAGCTGTAAGTTAGTAGTTAGTTAGTCACCCAATTAGATAGTTCGTTACTGTGTAGTTAGTTATTTAGTTACCTGTAGAAAGGCAATTCCGTCTTTGCGTATTGCAGAGTTATCTTCTCTTGTGAGCAGGTATTGACTGATTACATCGTTTTCTCAAAAATTGATGACGTTTCTCTCACAAACCAATGACGTAACAATCAATACCTGATCACAAGAGAAGATAACTCTGCAATATGCAAAGACGGAATACCTTAGTCAGTAGCATGGTTAGTTAGTCTAGTCTAGTTTATTTCATTATAACAACAACTACAGCCTACTGACCTGTATTTTTCCTCCCCGTCCCATTTCGAAGACGACTGGTGCTGCCTCCTACAGGAGTTTTAGACAAATATCATCAATATAATCGTATGATTTAAGCTGATGGATTTATATGTGATCACGTCGTTTTTTCATAATTGGTGTACAAATACTAGCATTCGTTTGATTAAATTAGGTAAATGTATATGTACAAAGTGAAACCTCAGCAAACAAGATCAACAAGCGAATCACAATGTGTCATCAATATTGGCAACATAAAAATAATGATTTAAAATTTAAAAAAACATTACATAAATATATATGCATACAGTTTTATTTACTCAGTTTATGAGTCGTAAGTGGGCGGAGAAGTAATAATGATATATATACATTATGTTCAGGTTATATATGACATTGTTATACACACGGACACAGTAAACGGTATCACAATAAATAAGGCCGTAATACACAGGCCATAATACTGTACATTTAGAGACATAATATAATGGTCACAATACACAGGGTCACAATACACAGGGTCATAATATAAAGGGTCACAATACACAGGGACATAATACACAGGGTCATAATACAAAGGGTCACAATACACAGGGCCATAGTACAAAGGGTAACAATACACAGGGTCATAATACAAAGGGTAACAATACACAGGGTCATAATACAAAGGGTCACAATACACAGGGTCATAATACACAGGGTCATAATACAAAGGGTAATAATACACAGGGTTATCAAACAATGGGTCACAATACACAGGGTCATACTACAAAGGGTCACAATACACAGGGTCATAATACAAAGGGTAACAATACACAGGGTCATAGTACCAAGGGTCACAATACACAGGGTCATAACACAAAGGGTAACAATACACAGGGTCATAATACAAAGGGTAACAATACACAGGGTCATAATACAAAGGGTCACAATACACAGGGTCATATTACACAGGGTCACAAAACACAGGGTCACAATACACACGGTCATAATACACACGGTCATCAAACAATGGGCCACAATGCACAGGGTCATAATACAATGGGTCACAATACACAGGGTCATAATACAAAGGATCACAATACACAGGGTCATAATACAAAAGGTAATTATACAAAGGGCATTATACACAGGGTCACAATACACAGGGTCACAAAACACAGGGTCATAATACAAAGGGTCACAATACACAGGGTCATAGTACAAAGGATCACAATACACAGGGTCATAATACAAAGGGTCACAATAAACAGGGTCATAGTACAAAGGGTCACAATACACAGGGTCATAGTACATAGGGTAACAATACACAGGGTCAAAGTACAAAGGGTAACAATACACAGGGTCATAGTACAAAGGGTCACAATACACAGGGTCACAAAACACAGGGTCATAATACAAAAGGTAATTATACAAAGGGCATTATACACAGGGTCACAATAAACAGGGTCATAGTACAAAGGGGAACAATACACAGGGTCATAGTACAAAGGGTAATAATACACAGGGTCATAGGACAAAAGGTAATTATATGAAGGGCATTATACACAGGGTCACAATATACAGGGTCATAGTACAAAGGGTAACAATACACATGGTCATAGTACAAAGGGTAATAATACACAGGGTCATAGGACAAAGGGTCACAATACACAGGGTCATAATACAAAGGGTAACAATACACAGGGTCATAATACAAAGGGTCACAATACACAGGGTCATAGTACAAAGGGTAACAATACACATGGTCATAGTACAAAGGGTAACAATACACAGGGTAATAGTACAAAGGGTCACAATACACAGGGTCATAGTACAAAGGGTAGCAATACACATGGTCATAGTACAAAGGGTAACAATACACAGGGTCATAGGACAAAGGGTCACAATACACAGGGTCATAATACAAAGGGTAACAATACACAGGGTCATAGTACAAAGGGTCACAATACACAGGGTCATAATACAAAGGGTCACAATACACAGGGTCATAATACAAAAAGGTAATTATACAAAGGGCATTATACATAGGGTCACAATACACCGGGTCATAATACAAACGGTAATAATACACATGGTCATCAAAAAAATGGGTCGCAATACACAGGGTCATTATACAAAGGATCACAATACACAGGGTAATAATACAAAAAGGTAATTATACAAAGGGCATTATACACAGGGTCACAATACACCGGGTCATAATACAAAGGGTAATAATACACATGGTCATCAAACAATGGGTCACACTACACAGGGTCATAATACAAAAGGTAATTATACAAAGGGAATTATACACAGGGTCACAATACACCGGGTCATAATACAAAGGGTGAAAATAAACATGGTCATCAAACAATGGGTCGCAATACACAGGGTCATTATACAAAGGATCACAATACACAGGGTTATAATACAAAAAGGTAATTATACAAAGGGAATTATACACAGGGTCACACTACACAGGGTCATAATACAAAAGGTAATTATACAAAGGGCATTATACACAGGGTCACACTACACAGGGTCATAATACAAATGGTCATCTTACAAAGGGTCATAATGCACAGGGTCATGATACACAGGGTTCTATAACATATGGCCATTATAACCAGGGTCATGATACACAGTGCCATTACACAAAGGTCATTATACACAGAGTCGACAAGATATCCAGACTGAGTGTGGTTCAGTGGTATAGACAGGAATACGCCACCAAACAATGGTACAAAGCGACAATGCCATTCTTTGAATTTTTAATTAGTTCATAAGTTTGTAGTTAAAATTGTACCAAAGTCCCACTTTGCTGTAATACTATATGATAATCTTTTTTTTTTTTTTTTGGATTTGGAGAACTTTGAAAGAGAGAGAAAACTCCAACAGAGCTTAAATAGCATCGAAGGTTCCTACATGGTACATCAGCCTTGCTCATAATTGTACACACTGTCAAACGCTGTTTTCCTTGTGTAATGTTTTGAAAGAAACTGCACTGTGTATTTTACAAGGAAGTTATTAGACCTTGATATAAAGAAAGGTCGGTCATAGCAAGAAACCATTTCTACTGGCGGACAAATGGCTATGTATTGATATCTACCATAGAAATCTTCGAACAAAAATGTATTTCAGTTCTAAAGAAAAATTCTATCTTCATTTTCGTTTCATTTTCATTCGACAATAGAAGTTATTTCTACCCGATAAAGCGGATTATGATACGATAATTGGGATATAATTGGTCTTAAATACGAAAAGATCGAAAATATAGAAGCTGTTTCATTGTGCTCTTCGGCCACAGGTGAAATTCTGCCAACACAGACAGCATTAAATTCACCGGTAAACATTCCAATACACACGGTAATCAGCTTGTCATCAAAATATTTGCATACCTGTTTAAATAAATTTTAAATACTTGGCTAACAGAAAAATGGCCACGTAACCTATTACATCGTGCATGTACAGTGTGTATATATCTCAAACTTCGATACATCGAGGCCCTGGCTAAACCACCATTAATGGAATGGCGGGTTTTACTGTTAAACGTCTCAACTTTGATGATAAAAAACAAATCTGAAGTAGCGATAAAGACCTTCAAGCGTTATAAGTACAATAATGTTTATTGCAAATTACGACAGTCGTAAATAAAACAACAATTGATGTGTCAGTCAATGTAGATCGCAGAATTCTCGATTGAAATCCAAGCAATTTATTAACGGCAGAAAAGTTACCACCTTTTTGTATTAATATTATTTCTTTTCAAGAAAATAGTTAATTTCTAGCCACCATTTACAAGGAAAACTTAAGCAAAGATAACGTTTCAACAATTTTGGAGAAAATTTTATAAAGATTTGTGTTGCTGTCGAGTCATTTTTGTTAATACAAATGTACAGATACAAGACAGACATTAAACATTGCACGTGGAGGATATCGGCATACATTTGTATCTCGGTAAAATCCGGCGAACATCGGGCAACCGGTGTTTGTCGGAATAGACCGAGAAGTTACAGTAACCTCAAATATGATGTGGTTCTTTCTTCAATATGGCCCCAATATACTGTAATTAACATCATTGACTATCAATTCGATTGCTTTGAAGTAAATCATATAAAACGTTTTAGACCTGTAACGTCCGGTCCTTTACCAATGGTAAAGTTAGCACGTCATGGATGTATTTCCATGGTATAGACGTACTATATTGAAACGATAACGTGTATTAAATGTGTAAATCTTTTTCAGTTTTCTATGTATGGTACTGAACAATATGAAGCAGAAAAGTCAAATTAGCTGGAACATTACATACACTTAAAAAACACAAAGACATCAGTGTGTTACATTAATGCATTGACTAGTACGAGATGAAGAGATTTATTCCCAGGATATTCACAAATGAGAATGTAACGTTTACTATACATTGAACACACCCTTCTTAAATTATTGGAAGGTACTTTTCCTTACCGAACTAGGATGTTTCATGCTAGGGTTTTGGCTCTTAGTTTACAATGTTGGCTCAAAATTTATAGAAATAGATCGAATTTTCTCAAATAATATATTGTCTGTACACAGTATACACTTTAAAAATTCCATCTCCGACGATGGTTCCTAACTTCCTACGCCAACTCCAGGCTGACGGTGTATAGATCGTTGGACAATCCAAAGGTATTATATCTTGATCGGCACCTAAATATCAGGCATTATTCCAGGTGTGTGGTCAGGTGTGTTAATTAGATAAACATACATGCGGACATTGTGTCGTGAGATTGCCAAATCATTAACCCATATTATTTTTCTGAATTTCCAGTATTTTTTATATTTTTTAGGTACACATGTCTGATCTGAAAGTGTTAAGTGTCAGTAGACATTAGGAATTTTCTTTTTTTAATACAATATCTTTCATGTTATTGATTTTAAGCTGACGAAACATTGTTCCATGTGTGCTAACATTATAGTGTACAACACAAGACAGTGTCCTTTACTATCAGCAGGACCATGTATATATAAGTCATCACCGCCTTTTGCTGATATGTCTGCATTCATCTCGCATTGTAGCTTTATATAAAAATGTATGCTTAGTTGTTCTGACCATGATTAACTTGGTCTTTACTGAACATCATTAGTCCGAATACGTCTTAAGTAAACTTCATTTATCCGGATAGGTCTAAACTGAACCTCTTGTGTCCGGATACGTCTATACTGAAACTCTTTAGTCCGGATATGTCTATACTGAACCTCATTAGTCCGGATATGTCTATAATGGACCTATTTAGTCCGGATATCTCCAAACTGAACTTAATTAGTCCGGATAGGTCAATACTGAACCTAACTAATCTGGATGCATCTATACTGGACCTCATTAGACTGGATACGTACACTGAAACTCGTTAGTCCGGATATGTCTATACTCAACCTCTTTAGTCCGTATACGTCTATACTGAACCTCATTGGTCCGGATACGTCTATACCAAACCTATTAGCCCAGATACGTCTAAACTGAACCTCATTAGTCCGGATACGTCTATACTGAACCTTTTTAGTCTGGATACGTCTATTCTGAACCCCATTAGTCTTGATACGTCTATTCTGAACCCCATTAGTCCGGATACGTCTATACTGAACCTCTTTAGTCCGGATACGTCTATACTGAACCTCTTTAGTCCGGATACGTTTATACTGAACCCCATTTGTCTGGATACATCTATTCTGAACCCCATTAGTCTGGATACATCTATACTGAACCCCATTAGTCTGGATACATCTATACTGAACCCCATTAGTCTGGTAACGTCTATTCTGAACTCTATTAGTCTCGAAACGTCTATTCTGAAACCCATAAGTCTGGATACGTATTGTTAACTCTATTTGTCTGGCTACGTCTATACTGAACCCCATTAATCTGGATACGTCTATTCTACTTTTGACAATATCAAAAATCCAGAAAAAAATAGTAACTGTACCTATTCATCATTCCTCGATTCAGTTGTTTACATAAGCTGTACAGTAAGACTTCTCAGATAAGTCTCGTCTAACCGGATTGGAATTCTAATAAAACATACTTAATGTGGAATTTAAATTGATCTGATGAGAAAAAACATAACATAGTTTATGTCTCATTAAGTTAACAGCGCTTTGAATAAATTGACTGAAGTATGTCTGAGACATTGATATCCTAAACAAAACCTATCTCTACACCGATCTGTAATAGGACGGTCAGGTCGAACACGGTCAGATGGAAATATCCGATACGCTCGTGACTGAAGGATTTAAACAATTATCAATTATACATTTGAAAAATCATTTCAACACTTTTGCACATGCCTTGTATTGATCAGTACGCTTAGTTAGACAACCAAATCGTTAATACATGTCGTTCCAGTATACATAATGTATATCGCATTACCGAAATATCTACACCGTATCTTTTTATAATCTGGCATCTATAGTTTAATTGTCTTCTGGAATTTCACCTGCATGAGTTAGAACTGTGTTTTTATTTAATGTAGTATATACTTGACGACGTCTGAACACTAGTTAGATTTAATGATGGAAACAGCAAGCATACCTGTAGACAAAGTATTTCGTTAATTACATTTAAGGATCCCCGTACCACTGCCAGAAAGAGTGATTAGTCACCTGAAGCCCTTTTTCCGGCGTGACCATAGCTTTACATGATAAATCATTTCTGACTAGAAAACCATACCCTGCGAAACTTGTATGAAACATTATACCCAGAGGTAAAATGGGATTAATAAGAATTGTTTTTCTACATTACACCAGGTTTTGTCATTTTTTAGCATATTGACCGCATAATGGTTCAACAGATATCGAAATGAAATACGATTACAGTTTCAATGATATCCGGTTACATGTAGCCATGCTCCAGTTTCACGCACGTTCGTTCTCTAGTTTTTCCAATCGTCAAGCATTGCTAAAGATAAATATAAGAAAAAACTTGAGTTCAATCATCTTTTTTTCTTAAAACCAGCAATGTTTTTTCTATGGGAAAAAAATCAATCAAAGTATGTGTGTTTGGCCTTGTTTTTATCAACACTCTGTTAAACATACACATGTCCATCATCGGGGGAGTGTATTTAAAGAGTGTTTATTTAAATCCAAAAGTCGTCTGAAACTCTTCTTACATGTCGGAGAGGTCCGAACACAAACACTTCAATTGATTTGCACGTCCCTGTGAACCAGTGCCCACATTCCTGAAATCCTAATATCCAGTACATAGACCTACATGTAGTACTAAAACCATATTTTACTTAACAAAAGATATCATAGAAGACACACATTAAGCTACATTCCGTCAAACGTGTTGTACGAGAATGTAATTATAAGAAGTTCGTGATAATCTGCAGTATCGTATTCACCCCACCTGGCCTCTAACTATATCATCAGTATTAACTAGGTATAAAAAGTACCTACTTAAAAGCTAATGACGTTTACCCCCTCGCGTGTAATCAGCCAAAGCATGTGATTTATATACATATATATATATACGTTTTACACCAGTCATCATTACTAATGGTGAATGAATTTCCCATTTAATTAATAATACGAAAATGTTGATATCAATTAAGGTAACATTGTAACGATTTCGATTAATTAGCCTATAGAATTCCATACTCATCAACTCAAATCATATAAAACTTCATAACATTTGACATATATGAAATTGTCGTTGTGATCGTCCTATACACGAAAGTACTCAACATTAATATTATACCAAAGGAAATGTAAAACTCGCTGTTCCCGGGAAAACGAAAAACCCATCAAACAAACTTGACCAGCTCTAAATACAGCATTAATTATCACGATCAGGCAAGAAAATAAAAAGGAGAGATAGCCATTGGACGGACGGACAAATGGATGGTTTTGTTTTGTTTTATTTTGTTTAACGTGCTATCAACAGCTATGGTTATTTAAGGACGTGCCTCCATGTGTGTTGTGTAAGCGTGCATGTGTGTATGTGTGCAGGAGACAGGGTACATATGTTGGTGTATTTGCCTCTTTGTGATAGCGCAGATCTGATGCCGACTTTATAGTGCTATCTCACTGAAATACCATGCCGAAGGCACAAAGCACAGCGTTCCACCCGGTTATACTGACAACGGGTAAACCAGTTGTTGCCATTCCCCTAAATGCTGAACGTTAAGCAGGGAATAACAGCTACCATTTTAAGGACTCCTGTATGTCCCGACAAATGGATGGACGGAAAGACAAACTAAGTGTATGTCCCGACAAATGGATGGACGGAAAGACAAACTAAGTGTATGTTACGGGAATCATGTTGTAATGTACAATGTACAACGTATACAATGCCAACTGACATACATAAATCGGACAGACTTACATACAAACAAAACAGACGGATTAACGGACGAAAGATCTGGAAGAACAATACAAAAATATACTAACCACTTCCTCGGTAATTGTGAAAACCGTTCATCTGTCCTGGTAAAGTTTTAATCCGGTCCATGTGTGTTATTGGTGAAAGTAACTCATCGTCCGTCGATTGACCGCCATCGTCCTCCGATACACCTTCCTCGTCATCTGACACTTCCTTCAAAAGCTGACACACGACGCCGTAACCTTCAGCAAAGAGCCTCAAGGTCATACACATCGACGTTTCTTCAGATAGCCCTTCACACAATTTTCGCAGCTCAGTGTCGTGAAATAGAGCCAGCTTATCATACTCAATTCTTTTTTCTAGAATTGTCATGAGTTTTTTCAGACATTGGTTGGTAAGGGTTGGCTCCACAATGTTGTAAAGCGTTTTGTTTTTAATGATTCGACTTTGAACATCCGTGCGAGTCATCTGCATTAGTCTCTGATGACTCGCAGCACTTGGCGCCTTGCCGAATGAAACAGAGCTTGAGGCAGGATGTTTTGTGGTTACCAGACTAAGCTCGTCAAGTGTCAGTAACGCACTTCGGTAGTTCGAAACTATCTGTTCCAGTTGGAGTTTCATTGCGTCATGAAGCTGCATGAGATGTCCATTTGAGCAGTCTACCAATCCATGCCGGCCAAGGTGTTTAAGACACCTGTCCAACGCACGTCTTTTCTGTCTCGTTTGACGTTTGACTTGCGGTTCCACGGACAAAACAACTCGAAGAATGTTTCTACACGATGGGTAATATTTTATATCATACTTCTCCGTTTTTGTTGAATTGTGAGATAGTTTTGCAAAACACACAACCATTCTTTTTAACAACTGATCCAAACAAAGTTGATCTTTTGGGAAGCTCTCATTGTTACTCTCATATAGTTTAACGTACAATGCCTCTAGAATGGCTAGACTATACGGCATTGAGTCGTAAAGAACCTCCAACGGAACCTCCGCCAGAATACTTCCCAACGTCACGTAATTCATTTTCCTTATAATGGTAGCACATTCATCGTATTTCTTTGTCTCAAATAACAGTGCGACTTTACGAAGGGCAACATGCGGAGTGATGTCGTTCGCCTCCACGTGAACAGTCTCGTCTGGAAACCCTGTCGCCCACCGGACGTTCCGCCATATTTTCTGCACTCTTTGTCGTGGTATCTTTTCCGGTTTTATTCGTTCCATTCTGCCGGATCCGGAACTGGAACTTTCCGTCTAAAATTAAAGTAAAAAGCACATGAAACGAAATGTTAAACTACGCTGAAGTAAGATTCTGAAGATGAACCGGTACCTAACCGGATGTGTATCAAGCCCCAGTGGAGCTAGAGAAAAAAAAACTGTAAAAAATATCCCTATAACTTATTGATGATTCATTAAAATAAAACACACGATCCACGAATACGGATGTAAATAAACTCACAGAATTTACCATAATAGCCTCTGGTTGGTTACCGCCGATCTACATTGTAGTCTGGTTGATCGCGTGTGACGGATTGTAAGTACACATTATCGATATTCCACGGTATAAAACACAGACCCCTCTGTGTACATATCAATAATTCAGTGGTCTATCTATTTAGGTATGTTATGAGATTCACAAATAATTAATACGTTGATATAGAAGATGTCAGTTGCATTTCATGACATTTACCGGTCAGGGTCAAAGGTCAAATATCCCACAAAGCAGCATTAATTGATGTAGTGTTTACGGTTTACGCCTTGTGTCCACTGTTATGAATGACAACCATTTTTTGTTTTTAATTTTCATTGATTAAACATGATATATCCACATCTATCAATCCGTCAGAAAAGGGGACGATTTGTTGTTTTTTTGTTTGTTTGCTTAAGGAATGTTCTAAAAACAGCCGAGGATATATGGAGACGGTTGCCCACGGAGACATCNGGGGGCAACAGATCCATTATTGTTTCTGCAATGTCCCCTTATATGTAGAAGACACGTAAGAAATCCCAGGTTCTCCAGGAATGGGGAGAGGGGGTACATTAATCGGCTATTACGATAACATGCCGTGATATAAAGCAGGGTCTATTATTTCCCTAAATCTGCATGAGAAAATAGGGTTAGACTGAGAAATCTATTGAATAGGATAAACATGTACACAATCTTGCATTGTTACTTATGAGAACTGTAGTTGTCAAGTATATCTTAACCCTTGTTTCTATGAATTCTTATAATGCAATGTATCACTGTCTGGCATACATAGTTATATATGAATTATATAACCGTATTTACTCCCAAAAAAACAGACATTGCCCTGTCATCGTGAACTCGTTGAACTCTTATTTCCATAAATGTCTTTACCAATAGAACTGCTATAAAACTTTATAACATCTTTCATCAAATTCATTGCTATGCAAATGCAATAGTCACACGAAAATCACCTTTGTACTCCTATAAACACCCATAACCCTCTAAAACCAAATATTGACTTATAAAAGTCCTCTTTACTCATGTAAAACACCATTTTAATCCCAAAGAATTTTAGCATAAACCTCACTACATCCCTTTGCAACAATTTACATGTATACATATCATAAATATTATAAACCTAACTTTACACCTCTAAAACCACTTATACATTTATAAATCCCAACTCTGTGGGACAAACAAATACAGACATATTCAGCTGACTCCCCTAAAGCCATACATATATTAGACTCATAAAATGTATTTCGCGTTGTTTTTTAAATATTCATGCATATAGTCCCATATTACTAAAATCCACTCCAAGAAAACGACATACATACCTACAATGTATTAAGACCTCTGTGAAATGAAACACTGTCCCATTTTGTCAAAATACAGGAGTCCTTAAGTAAAATATATGCAAATATATGTGAGCCTAGTAGAATTGTAGAATAGCTCACACCAATCACCACAGCATAGCCTCGTTTTTAGTCTATAACTTCACAATGAATGGGCCTGTAGGAAGTGAAATCTGTCTATAATACAACAGACAGTTATTAACTTCAGTAACCGTACATAAAGCTGCATTAATGAACTGTCTGATGGAATTTTGTGTGCCATAAATCATGGATATATCTGGAGTGACATATCAATGTCAGTCTATATCATTACACCATAATTATATTATTACAGTTTAATTATTAATGTAACATTTTGTATCTCGTTGATCACGAGAAAATTAAAAAGGTAAGACATGCAGTAAGCGGATCGTCTTGTGTCATTATATTTACAGCACATCAAGGTTAGTTCCACGTAACAGCAGGTCGTGGGAAAGTATGCTCGTTACATATTAGAAATGTGTAACTTATTAATTAAAAAAGTACAAAGAGTTTATGAATAATTTGAATAACGTTGTCGCTGAAATGTCGTTTTCCACTGGCCAATAGGCATTTTTTTGTCTCCGACAAACACATTTCTGCTCACAGAAAAATTATAAGACAGTTCTAAAACCCACATTAGTGTAAAAACATACTTCAGTACCGTACATATTCTTTAACACTTAATGGTGTATCAAACAGCATAAAAGTAATTGATCTCGTGAAAAAAAATGTAAATTACGATGACATCACTATCCATAAAAGTTAACTCTGACAAGCTGAGTGACCGCACAACACACTAATATATTTTGAACTATTCCGAAAATCTACGTGGTGGTCTACGAAATATACAAAAGAGAAGTTTAGATAATGTCCGTCCGATTGTTAATCGTCACTCGCCTTCCCCGTAACGGCTGATTGATAGACACCTGTAGACTATAGGGCACAGAATCATAATCTACCAGTAGAGTTTGTCATTATAACTTTGACTCAAACCAAGGAGCAATCAGCAAAGTGATATACCAACTGTTGTTTTTGATTGGGTTGGTATTATCATTGATTAGGTTGGTATTATCATTGATTATACTGTAGGTGCTTAAGTCCTTGGACTCTTTGTTATTGCTTTTGAATTCACAGAACTTTCATTAAAATTCTGTTATGATCTGGGTGTGATATTTGCTGTCAATCACTGGAACATGTATATAAAATTACAGGCTGTTTAGCTTTCAACTTATTTTAACACTACGTTTTACTCATCAAAGGAAAGGTCATATTCCTTCTATCATAAACAGGAAAGATTTAATTCGAAATCGCCACACACTTGCAATGAACATATATTGGCAGGGAACAACGTTCAGACATTTGATTGTACTAGCTCACGATTGATCGCATATATATGTTTGTGTTCCATATTCCCCTTTACTTAAATGATTACACAAAATTGGTTTAAATCTACTGTGAACGCTCTTGAAATCAGTTCAATATATCATGTTAAAGTTTGCCATGAACTGAAAGCGGTACAATGAAAGTTGTGTGCTGGTGAATAACATAAACATAGAAACAGATATTGCGTTCTGTACCTAGCTAGCTGCCACTATGAACACATAGCTAGCTGCTACTATAAACACCTAAGTGGCTGCTACTATAAACACCTAACTAGCTGCCACTATGAACACCTAGCTAGCTGCCACTATGAACACCTAGCTAGCTGCCACTGTGAACACTTAACTAGCTGCCATTATGAAAACCGAGCTAGCTGCCACTATGGACACCTAGTAAGCTGTCGCTATGAACACCTAGCTAGCTGCCACTATGAACACCTAGCTAGCTGCTATTGTGAACACCTAGCTAGCTACTACTGTGAACACCTATCTAGCTGCCACTATGAACACCTATCTAGCTGCTACTGTGAACACCTAGCTAGCTGCAACTATGAACACCTAGCTAGCTGCCACTATGAACACCTAGCTAGCTGCTACTGTGAACACCTAGCTAGCTACTACTGTGAACACCTAGCTAGCTGCCACTATGAACTCCTAGCTAGCTGCTACTGTTAAAACCTAGATAGCTGCTACTATGAACACCTAGCTAGCTGCCACTATGAACACCTAACTAGCTGTCACTATGAACAACTACATTAATGTAGCTAGCTGCTACTATGAACACCTAGCTAGCTACTACTGTGAACACCTAGCTAGCTGCCACTATCAACACCTATCTAGCTGCCACTATGAACACCTAGCTAGCTGCTACTGTGAAAACCTAGCTAGCTGCTACTATGAACACCTAGCTAGCTGCCACTGTGAACCCATGTTTCGTATACTTCTGCATATCATAGTGCGTCGACACAATCATTAGCTTCGAAAATGTGTTTTTTATCTCTGTTTTATTTGTTAAGTGTATGCTTCGCCCAAACTGTCAAAAAATGGAAATATCAACATAAAAAACAATTACTCCACTCTGCAATCTTGAGAAATTTCTTGAAAAAGTCTTCCACGAAGATCGCAACTTTCACCTTTGATATAATGTATTGGTTAACTTTTCTTTAATTAATGTATATATTAAAAGTTATTTGATTTTTTTTTTTTTGCATATTGTAATCGCTTATATGATCTTTTGCTTAAAGTGAATAAAGTATATGTATTTTCACTCGTTGATCGGCTGGACCCTTGTTAGACGGAACACAGAAGTTAACGTCTGGCAGAATGGAACATTCAATGTTTTTCTTCGTATGTACATGTTGGTTGACTATGCTGATGGCCTATCAGTCTCCGAAGGTGGCCGTAACCTTGAAGGTGGACTTTATTCTGGCACGTTTTACATAAGGTACTATTTTAAGTATACATTATCTGTTGGGTCAGAAGGTGTAAATTTGTAACGTTATGAAGTATGTTATTGGTACCTTTCCCCTGACCCCGTATTTTATGTATGTACGGAACACTTATACACAGATATAGATCTTAATTCGTTTGAACTTTAATACCGCCTATGAGTTCTAAATGGAAGTAATTGTCATATAGTGCTGTTAAAATCTGTTTACCGTTAGGCTTTCTGTATCGACACCCTATACTGTTTTTATATGAAACGTCTTCCTATTTCTAGTGGCTGTTTGTAATCTCTTAACTCAATCCTTAATTTCATATAGTCCTTAATATTTGGTTTTTATAATAGCTACTATGCTATATCATAGTCTGAACGGCTGCTGTACTGACTTATGATAATATAAGACGATGGCATTCATGCCATTCATGTGCATAAAGACAGGGGAAGGAAAAGTATTTCTAACTTAAATTGTCATTGGACCATTATTTGCATATAATTGAAGACGATTTTGACCATAATATTTATAATGGTTTTTAAATCTACTGTGTAGGGTTTAAGACAGAGTGCTCGACCTTTATAGCATAAATACA